CAAGGTGGTGTGAATGCTCCTGCCTGGCTTGAACCATCAAAAGGGCATGTCAAGCGGCGTGCCATCAATCCTGTTTGGAAGGTCTTCAATAGTTGGTCACTTCGTCTACAGGTTGCCATAATATGAAGATTGGCAGAGTCGACTGATGTTGACCAACATGAGGCCAACGTGATGGTGAGAAAGTTTGTTGCACTTTCAATATAACCGAACAAGTAACTTGGTAACGAAAAGGAGATGACTCATGATGCTGCTTTAAAGCTTTACAAATCTTATAGCTGCTCAAAGGCTGAGCTCTTCTATCAAGTCTTGATGCCAAGCTCAACGTCTCAGACAATCCAGGGACTAGACTGAGTTCAGCTGCTGCTTCTTCTCCTTCTACAGTATCTCTTTTTTTAAATCCATGTTTCTTGTTTTTCCATCTAAGTGCTTGCAGGCAGATTCATTGATCGCCGAGGCAGGGCCAAACCTTGTGCCATTTGAGGCACCACTCAAGCAGGGCCACGGCCGGACCCATACCGTCGCCACATCGACTCACTTTGCACAGCCCTCTGTCCGAGCACAGCTTAGCCGTCGCAGTTCCTCAATCGCCTCATCGCTAAAGAGCATCTGCAAGGCTTCCGGACTGTGGATGATCTCTTTCATAGCAGGATCTGCAGCGGCCATCTCTTGCACCAGAGGGTTCCTGGAAGTTGGACACCATCGTCACAAAAGAGAAACACAATTCAGACAGTTTCTTCTCTTCTTCTCCTCTTGTGTCATATCATGTCATATCTCAACTCAGCAAACACGTGCCAAAAAGAACAAAAAAAGAACAAGCCAAGTGGCTGATTCACGATCTTCATAAGCTCATCAGGCTTGTCCTTCAACTGGTGGATTCGCTCTTGGATCTTCTCCTGACCTAGTTGCAAGCCAAAGCTCGGATCCAATTTGGCCTTTGATGTTACCCCGAAGTCCGTAGGCACCTTGGCCAATTTGCTCAGCTGCTCAGGATTCATACGCTCACCCTGACCGAAGGACTCAAAGATCTTGGTCCAGCCATCCATGCCTTGAAATGCACCAGCATGAAATAAGTCTTCAAAGCTGTCTGCTTTGACGTCCAGGCAAGCACCAGTGGTCAAAAGGCCAAAGCAAAGGACACCAAGCAAGGAGGTCATTCGAATTAGATGAACGGTTGGAGTGGAATGCAAGGTGGTGTGAATGCTCCTGCCTGGCTTGAACCATCAAAAGGGCATGTCAAGCGGCGTGCCATCAATCCTGTTTGGAAGGTCTTCAATAGTTGGTCACTTCGTCTACAGGTTGCCATAATATGAAGATTGGCAGAGTCGACTGATGTTGACCAACATGAGGCCAACGTGATGGTGAGAAAGTTTGTTGCACTTTCAATATAACCGAACAAGTAACTTGGTAACGAAAAGGAGATGACTCATGATGCTGCTTTAAAGCTTTACAAATCTTATAGCTGCTCAAAGGCTGAGCTCTTCTATCAAGTCTTGATGCCAAGCTCAACGTCTCAGAC